AATGTAGCTGGGAGCATGTGATTGGCTAAATTGCCATAATGAACTTCAATAACAAGAGTTATTTTACAATTTAATGGTTCATTTACATATTTAACTCCATATATTCATGATTATTTCATAATTTATTATCTTTCTTTAATAAAAATGTCCAACTTTTGTTTCCCAGGCTCTTAGCAATGGACTGAAGAAGTGTTTGGACCTCTGCGTACAGCAGGGCTTGAGTTCAGTGGCCTTTCCAGTTATCGGACCTGGAATCGTGTTAAAATACCCGCTGAGAGAAGCAATTCAAGTGCTGACTGAGAACATTCGCCAGTTTGGATTATCCACATCCTCTGGTTCTCTCTCCACCATCCACGTCGTCATTAAACCTGGCTATCCTGACTCTGAGCAGGTGAAATAAAACTCATCTTCTTTTAATAGTTTAATAACAAGTAATATGTGTTTGTAGGGTGCATTTGATTTACTTTATAAGAGGATGATGTTTACTGGAGGCATTTGTATTTACAGTGCTACCATGATGTCCACAGACACCTCAGCTTGAGCATGAATCAAGGAAGCCAAGGTAAACTAGACGGATACTCAGACTCCATTAATAATTGTTAATAACACACAGCACATATTTACTGTTACATTCAAAGTGCAGTCTGTAAAAAGTACAGAAGTATTATCACTATGCAAAATATACAGTGCTACATCCTCATAAAGTATAAAGTGCATAAAATGGAAATAAGAATAAGAGTAAGAATAAGAATTGTAGTAGTGAAGTAAATGTACTTAGTTCCTTTCCACCGCTGTAGTATCTGTGTTTTCTTCCTCTCAGTGATCTTCAGCTCCCTCGCCAGCGACCTTGATGACGTCACCATGACAGTGGGAGGTGGGGTTAAACTACAGCTGGTGTTTGGTGACATCAGCAGTGAGAATACAGATGCTGTGGTGAACACGACCAACTTTGTTCATTTTCAAAGAGGTAGGTGTGGCGGCACACTAAGGCAGGAGGGTTTTTGTGTAGCGTGGTTGCAAGGTGTCCCACTGAGCAAGAGGACTGCAACTGTGCTGTAAATCAGTTTTGCAATTATATGTATCTATTGTCATTATTCCACAGATGGTGTGTGCAAAGACATCTTAACTAAGGCTGGACCCCAGCTGGAGGCATTACTGAAAAGCAGTAAGAAAAGGAGACGCACACACACAACTCAACTCAATAAACAACTCGACAGCTTCTTACACCTGCTGTCTTTCCTGTCTTGTGTCTAGCTAAAGTCAACAGAGGAGAGGTGTTTGAAACCCAGCCTGGATCATTCCCTTGTAAAGCCATTTTACACGTGTACGGACAAAACGATGCAGGCATCGTCAAACAACTGGTGTGTCGCATCATTCAACACTGTGAAACATCTGGATACAAGTCTGTGGCGATTCCTGCCATATGTGCAGGTAAATATTGCATAAGACGATCTAGGAAGACGGAGTCAGGGTGGGGGTAATGTCTCAGTGCGGTATCACAGCCTTATCTTTCCTCCAGGATGAGGCTAGGAGGAGGTACAGAAAGTAGAAAGGGGTTCTCGAGAGCAAGGATGTGTCAAAACAGGAAAGATAGAGATAGACACACCTGTACAGGTTGGGGCAGGAGAATGGATGAGAACGACGTGTGGTCTTTGTTTTTACACCCTAGTTGTAAAAACGTAATTCTTGCTTTACGCAGGGGGCGGAGGGCTGGACCCTGGTGTCGTGGCACGTGCCATCCTTCGAGGGGTGAAGACCGCCACATCATCTGCTTCCCTCTACTCTCTCACCAACATTCGTCTTGTACTGATTAAGATCAGGGTTTTCTTGGCATTTAAACACCAAGCAACGCAGACGTTTCCCTCTGCTGTAATCAACACAGGTGAGAAGAAGTCGACCTTTGTTCAGTCCTTACATCAAGGTCCTCGTGTTTTATGGTGGTTTCAAAAGTCTCTATTGGAATCAACTTGTTGTAGTTTCACTTATTGTCATATTTTCATTCATTTTGCAGTGTCAGCACTTCAGTTGCCCGATATACCACAGCAACAGTCCCCAGTGTCTATTAATGCAGACCAAAGCATCCTCCCTACCAGCTCCACGGAGCAGTCCGTCTTCATGTTTCTGGGTCTTTGCAAAACAAATGTTGAAGATGCCATGACAAGGCTGAAGGATCTGTATCAGGCTCAGTGCGCCACACTAACTTTAACAAGGGAGGACCTTCAAGGCCTCACCCAGCATGACATGAACAATTTCAACCAGCTGGTACAGAACCTGGGTCTGTACATGCATCAGGACCAGGGCAGCTTAACGCTGAGCGGGTTAAAAGAAAGGGTCGACCAGGTGATGCAGATCATTCACACCATCGGTCGGCTTAGGAGAGGAGCGAGAGCCAGGGAAGAGGAAGATTTGCACAGCCGTGTGGCTTGGTGCATCCTGGGGCAAAGCGGAAAGTGGGAGAGGCTTCCCAAAACAGCCACTCACAACCTGGAAAACCGTGAAGTACTGAGAGGGATAGTGGACGCACAGAGCATCCTGTGGAGAGTGGATCTACAGAGGATGGAGGCCACAAGACACGTGACCGGACAGACGGCGAAGCTGAAGCGACTAGAGAATCTGCCAGGTGAAAAGATGGTTAATTTGTCTTTGGAAACAACATCTACACATAAGACATAAATCCTCTGAGCATCTGAATTGTTTTGAGACTAACTTGTCTTACTTTTCAGACCTCACTCTCCCTCTGTACTGGGACAACATGGCGGAGATAGAAAATCTGAAGGTGGTTGCACTGAATCCTTTCTCTGCAGAGTACCGGACAGTGGAAGAGTCCTTCAAACAAACTGTCTCCATGACTATCCTGAAGGTGGGTGGCTTTAACCGTTTAATCCTCTGTAGATTTCAAAGCCACCTTACAGAATTGTATATGAATAAACTGTATTAATCTATAAGATTTGTGTTCTCCAGGTAGGTTTCTGGCAGCTGAACCTTTTTGGTTTTTCTTATTAGATCGAGCGTTTGCAGAACATCCATCTGCTTCGTGCCTACGAAGCGCAGAAGAAGCACATTTCTGATAAGAATGGACAGAAAAGGGCCGGTGAAAAGATTCTGTATCACGGGACGACAGAGGACAAAACCGAATCCATCATAAAAACTGGGTTCAACAGGAGCTTCGCTGGGCAAAATGGTAATGAATGTTTTTTTTGTCCAATCCACAACAAAGGAACATGCTTTTCATGGTCATCCTATTTTACAGTTTTTTTTTTTATTATTATTATTACAGCAAATTGCTGTTGTTAGCTCCTTACATTGTAAATGTTTTACTTCATGTGCAGCAGAGGAATTTCCCTGAAAAAAAGGCATGTGTTTACAGGACTTTTTGAGTAATCACTGTTGCTCTTTGTCACCATATCTGCTGGTGATGAGGTGATGAAAAGCAGCCAAACTGATATTTATTTACAACAGAAAATTGCATTCGTTTCAAAGGATGTGCTAAATTTCCAATCTATATTTCCAAAACTTTCAATGCTCGGTTTTCTCCCTGCTCGCAGCAGTTAAATCCCTCTTCTCTTTTATTCCCAGCGACTTCATTTGGCCGTGGAACCTACTTTGCCGTGGATGCCAGCTACTCAGCCCACCCCACCTACTCCAAGCCGGCTGCTGACGGCTCTCAGTTAATGTTCGTGGCTCGAGTCCTGACTGGCGTCTACACTCGGGGCTCCAGGGGCCTCAAGGTGCCTCCGCCTCTCAACAACCAGCAGCCACACGACCGCTACGACAGCGTGGTGGACGAAATAGACAACCCCAGCATGTATGTCGTGTTCCACGATAACCAAGCGTACCCGGACTACCTCATCACCTTCAAGTGACTGTGAGGGAAGGACTGATAGGCTACAGCCATATCAATGTTTGACTTTTTACACACTCACCCACGTTTTTATCAGTTACTTTAATTACTTTCATTTTCAGATTCGACACTTTGATTTTTATTCTTATCGGTTTTTTGTTGTTATTTTAGTTGGTATATTTGTTCTTTTTTGTGTCTTTGTTCAGTCAGTTATATTCAGTTTTTGTTAAGTTAATATTATCTTAATATTTTCTGTGGGCCCAGAACTTCATTGCATATTTTGTAAATTGTTATTTTTTTCATTTTGGGTCAATAAAACCCCTTTTTTTTAATATCCATTGCATCTGTCTGTTCTATGATAAATTATTCAGCAAACTGAGCAATGTGGAGGGCATTTATCAGTGACCAGTACATGTTCTGTTTGTGTTTTGAGTTCTGCAAACAATGGCTCAGGCCTGCAGCTAAACCCAAGACGAGAGGAAAACTTTTAATCTAATGAAAGTAACACTGGGAAAGACAACAATTCATCCTGCTCAGTAGTGACTAAAGCTTGTTATTAAGTCCTTGAAGGCAGCCAGGAATGGCTACACCCTTGTTGGGTGCATGAAAGGAGCCACGAGATAATTAGTTTCACATCACATTATTAAATAGCACACACAGTGTACACAGTAAAAAAACAAGAGATGCAGGGAAACGGTAAGACTATACATTTTCCTGGGTTGTTGTTGCCACTGCATGAGGTTTTTAGTGTCAGTATGACATCTAGTGCGTTGCTTGATAGAGCTGCAGGACGGCAGGTTTGCACGGCAACTTCATGTGTGACGGTGTTTCTTTGGTTTCTCTTTGTTTTTAATCTATTGTCTGTGTTGTGAAATCACAACAAAGGAAATGGAATAAATTTCCAAAACTTAATAATTATTACTGGTAGAATAATTATCCTCATACCTGAAGTAACACCATTGTCAGTGTTATTATCATCATAACCTCACAGTATCACTGGTCACAGTATCTGCACAAGAGCAACAGGTTAATACCTGGAGATGGAAGTATTTGGGTCAGAGGGTGGATCCATTTCCAGAAAGGAAGCGTAACTTACAGTAAGTGAAAGTGAAAGAAAAAGCATCTCAGACTGTTAATGAAGGAGGGAGGGAGACAGAGGAGTGCGACACTGAAAGTCATTAGTCAGTTTAAGAGTTGTCGGCAATATGGATGAACATCAACACCCACTGTTCTTTGAGGCGAAAGAGCTGACGGACAGAGAGAAGGAGAAGATCAGGAGACACTTCCAGAAAAGACGAGATTCAGGGGGAGGTGAATGTGGACTGATAGAAAAAGCTGGAGGCAACATCTATAAAATCTGCTTCAAAGAAAAAGACGGTAAGGAATCACTATGTTAAAATCAGTCCTACGTAGAATATACTTTACGTAGGCTCTTGTTGTGACTTTGTACTCGGCTGTTTATTACAGACCAGGAAAGGGTTTTGCAGAGGAAGTTTCACACCATCTCACTTCCTAGTGGAGAGCTGCGTCTGACTGTGAGCCGAACCAGTTCACCAGATCAGCCATTGACGCAGGTGAGATAATATCACGCTGTAGAAATGTTGGTTGGTCCTGTCTCCACGACGGAAACATTTGGGCCGAATGATCTGGTCAAACCAGTTTGAGGGGATGTTCTGATTTGCGATGTTGTGATACTTGCATTGCTGACTGCTGTGACATCACAAAAGATTATAATTTTGTTTTTATCTTTTAATAAGTTGAAGATCTAATTCTAATTCTGATTAGATTCACATTGATATAAAGTTGTGAGTTTGTTTGACGTTTGTTTTTTTTTTTCTTTAGACATTTACAAAAACAAACACAAAAGCCCTCGAGAAAATTTTCAAGATGGATGTTTACCTCCTTTATTACCTGAGAGACAACTCTAAAGTGAATAAATTATTGCAGAAACAACTCTCCTGTATTGGCTGCACACTGGAATTAAACTTTGATGAAGAGGAAGCGTTGGTTAGGGGGGATATTGAGAAGGGGCCAGGAGGAGCTTTTGGCGCAGCAGAGAAATGGGAGATACAGGTGGATCGGGTCTTCATCGGTCTCACTGAGAGCTACCTCTCCTATCATGTGTTTGAACCTCAGCAAATCAAAATGCTACTGCAGGACCGCTCGTTTGAGACTGATGATATCAAAGTGTACTCAGAGATTTGTCACTCTGTGGTTGTGGGAGAAGCTGCGGCTGTGAGGGAGAGGATTGCAATGCTGGAAAAGAGCATCCCATCCCGGAAGGAACTGCCAATCGCGGTGAAGCAGTTCACACTGGTGGAAGAAGAGTTCAATCAAGAAATGCGTGCACATTACCCAGAAGTTAAGATCCTCAAAAGCAGTAACATGATCATCATGGAGGGACCTGATAAAGGGGTGCAGTCAGGAGCTACAAAACTTGATGAACTGATGAAAAGCGTAAAAGAAAAGAGAGTTGAGCTCGCAACAGATTTAATTACCTTCATAAAAACCAGCGGTGCCATCGCCAAGTACGAGGCTCGCTTCCAGCAGAGTCTCAGAAATCCTGTTTCCATAGAGGTGGGATCAGACGTGGTTTTATCCAGTTTGTCCTCTGGTGCCCTGGATGAGGCTTGGGCAGCAGTGCAGAGAGACCTGAGTGTGGACTCTGTGAAGCTGCAGGGCGCTTCAGCTGCACCTCCAGATCTGAACAGAGTGAAGGAAATCCTCATCAAGGCCAAGAAAGAGGCAAACTGTCGAGACTTCAGAGTGGACGTCAGCTTCATCCCAGGACCCGGTGGAACCTCAGAGACCAAAGTACGGTTGGTGGGCTACACTGAAAATGTGAACAAGCTGAAAGAGGTTCTGCATGACTACCAGATGAATCAGGCTGAGATACAAGAAGTGCTGAACCTACCGCATCCTGGGATGGTTGACTGTTTTAATAATCTCTTGAGCCTGATTGGGATGAAGGAGACGAAAGTGACATTAAAACCCTCACACTCCCCGCGTCCTTGTGTGCTCGTGTCTGGTCCCCGTTGTCATGTCCAGGAGGTCCAGCGGGCCCTAACATCAACTCTAGCCAGCCTGACGTTAGACACACTCGTTCTAGACGGACCAGGAGCTCAGCGGTACTTCCAGGCAGAGGGTAAAGTCAGCAAGGATCTGGTAGAGAGCTCCTGTCAGGTCCTTATCAGGGAACAACAAAGTGTGTACTCACCAGATGTGAAAACCAAACCACGAAGCATCAGCAGCCCCAGACCCAGCCCACGTTTCACACCCAGACAGCACAGCCACACTGTTGGGAGCATCGCAGTCAACAAAACAAACCTGAAGATCAAGCTCGGCAGTTTGGAGGATGAGCAGGTTCGACGATTTCTTTTCTTTTCTACTTTAAATCAAATCTTAAATAAAGCAACAATGCAACATGCACAATCATATCATTTCACATTATTTCCACAGGTGACCGTGTTGGTCGTTCCCATGCTCAACAAACAGCTGACTTCTACTAATATCGGTAACAGTCTGTTGAATAAAGCAGGAAAAATAATCCAGTCCAATTTTAACTTGGTGGCAGCGAATTGTACCATCAGCCCTGGAGATGTTCTGCAGGTCACTGGGCCTCCAACTCTCGGCTGCTCCAAGCTCTTCTTCATTGAGTGCTTGCCTTGGGATGGAGCCAGAGGGCAGAGTGCGCAGGTAAAGTAAAATACCTGGTGGATTTACAATCCAAGGCCCTGTGTCTTCTCAGGGGCCTTCAGTCAAAATTTTCTTAATCAGAAAAACAGTGTGCGGATCTGTTTTATACTAGATTACTTAGGTTACACATTAACTGACCTTTGAAAACATCATGACTAAATGCCTACCTTTTGTTTTTCCAGGCTCTCAGCAATGGGCTGAAGAAGTGTTTGGACCTCTGTGAACAGCAGGGCTTGAGTTCAGTCGCGTTCCCGGTGATCGGACCTGGAATCGTGTTAAAATACCCGCTGAGGGAAGCCACTGAACTCCTGACTGAGAGCATTCACCAGTTTGGATTATCTGCATCCCCTGGTTCTCTGACCACAATCCATGTCGTCATCAAACCTGGCTATCCTGACTCCGAGGAGGTGACTATCAACACTTGGACAACTGTGGTATCTGGTTTATAAGTCGCTTGCATGGGTGATTTACTGATATGAAAGCATTTAATATCTGCATTTTTATTTACAGTGCTTCCATGATGTCTACAGACAACTCAGCTGGAATTTGAACCACGGAGGCCAAGGTAAACTAAACAGTTATTTAGACTACTTTGATTAACTGTTACAAATACAGCAAAGAATTTGTTAGTAAAACATGTACTTCTTTTTGTCTTCTTAAATTTCCATTAGCGTTCTCCAGTATTAACTAAAATATCAAACAAATCTTTCTTCCTCTCAGCGATCTTCAGCTCCCTCACCTCTGACCTTGATGACATCACAATGACAGTGGGAGGTGGGGTTAAACTACAGCTGGTGTTTGGTGACATCACTAATGAGACTACAGATGCCATTGTGAATACGACCGACTTCGTCAATTTTCAGAACGGTGGGTGAGAGCTGCTGCGGCTGAGGGTGCGGTTGACAGGTCCAGACAGAAACATATCGATGACTGTCAGATGGATCTCCAAGAAATTTCGTACAAATATTTGTGAGGCCCTGAGGATGAATCTTTCATCCCTGACATCTCCTGACAGGTCAAAGTTTGCACTTAAAGCAAAATATCTGGCACATCTGCTGCAGTGATTACCAAGACATTTGGTACATGTAATCTTATTCCCAGTAGGATGAATTATAATAAATTTCACACCTTAACTTTTCATATAGTGACATCATTAGGTCATCATTTTAATTTGTCCAATACTTGATTTATGTGGTTTATACCATATACCTGCAAAACTAATGACACTGTCATTGGCTTCAGCTTTGCTTTGTGTTTAGTGCTAATTAGCTGATGTTAGCATGCTAAAACTAAGATGGTGAACATGTTAAACATGATATCTACTTCATATCAACATCTTAGCATTTGTCATAGTGAGCATGTTAGCATGCTGACAGCAGAATTTAGCTCAAAGTACAGCTGTGCCTGAGTACAGCCTCACAGAGATGCTATCATGGCTGTAGATGCTTAACCTACTCTTGTTTGTTTGTTTGTCTTTATTCTACAGATGGCGTGTGCAAAGACATCTTGACTGTAGCTGGATCAGCGGTGGAGGCTCAACTGAGAGCAGGTGAGAAAAGATCAGGTAGAAATTTTCAACGACAACAACAACACACATTTAACAGCTTTGTACTCATTTTGCTTCTGTTTTGTTGGGTGTAGCAAAAGTGAAAAGTGGCGAGGTGTTCAAAACTCAGTCTGGATCATTCCCTTGTAAATCCATTTTGCACGTGTGCGGACAAAGAGATGCAGGCGTCACTGAGCAGGTGGTGTGTCGCATCATCCAACTTTGTGAATCCTCTGGATACAAATCTGTGGCCATTCCTGCGATCAGTGCTGGTAAGTTTTGCGTTAGACAATTAGTATTGTCTCATTGTTTTTCAATTCAGTGTCAGTTTTAATTCTGCCAGCAAAAAATAAAATCAACCTCTTCGTGCAGGAGCTGGTGGGCTGGACCCTGGTGTCGTGGCAGATGCCATCCTCAAAGGAGTCAAAACTGCCACATCGACCACTCCCTTCCACTGTCTCACTGACATCCGCCTCATCCTGTTTAAGATCAATGTCTTCTTGGAGTTCAAAGAGGAAGCACTGCAGAAGTACCCCACTACTTTATTCAACAGAGGTGACAGGAAGTTTCACAAACATCCCTCTTCTTTTGTGGTTGTTTAGAAAATCTGAATTCTCTTCTTTTGTTAAGTATTTTCGCTGATCGTTTTGATTTGACCCGTCTTGCAGTGCCAGTACCTCAGCTGCCTCATGTACAACAACAACAGCCACTGAGGTCTGTGAACGCAGACCTCAGCATCCTCCACACCAGCTTCACGAATCACAAGTCTGCCTTCCTGTTCCTGGGTCTTTGCAAACAGGATGTCAACAGTGCCATGACAAAGGTGAAGGATCTGTATCAGGCTCAGTGCTCCACACAAACCTTCGCAAAGGAGCAGCTGGAAGGCCTCACCGAGGATGACATTAAGGATCTGAAACAGCTGGTGGAGACCAAGGGACTGTACATGCAGACGGACCAGTCTGGCCAGGGCAGCTTAATTGTGAGCGGGCTAAAAGATGGGGTCAACGAGGTGACACAGATGATCAATGTGTCACTGCACGGCAGCCTCAGGAGAGAGATGAGATCCAGAGAAGAGGAGGATCTGTACACCCGTGTGTCTTGGTGCATCCTGGGACGTAATGGCACCTGGGAACGACTCCCCAAAACAGCCAATCACAACTTGGAAACGAATGATTTAGCATCAGGGATTGTGGACGCACAGAGAACTCTGTGGACTGTGGATCTGCAGAGGATGGAAGCCACAAGACGAGGAACTAGACAGGTGGCGAAGTTAAAACGACTTGAGAATCCGTCAGGTGAGAGGATTGCTTTTACATGAAAATGATTTCGTATTAAATCATAACAAAAACAAACATTTTGTGTTGAAGATATTTTTCAGTGAATCACATACGTCATTATAAGAGATGACAGTAACCATAAATACAAGAAAACAGTTAACTTTTAAACACTAAAAGTCACTCAAACAATTTATTTTAAATGAAAAATCTCACCCCAAATTTCAATCGCAAACTGAATTTGTTCAATTTTCATGCAAATGTTCAAATTGTAATTTTTTTCTAAACACTTTTTCTGGGCCTTCAGAGGCATCCATGTTGGTTTCTACTTGAGTTTCAAAGTAAAAAACATACTTTGCTTAATCTCAAATGTGAAGAAACAAGCTGCCGGTAAAATATTTATTGCAATTTATTTTTGCAAATGCAACATCCGTCATTTTCTATTAATTTTCTCCTCTAACATTTTCAGACTTCACCCTCCCTCTGTACTGGGACAACATGGCTGCTGGGGAGAATAATGAGGTGGTTGCACTTCAGTCTTCCTCTGCAGAGTACCAGACAGTGAAGGAGACGTTCAAACGAACTGTCCCCAAGGCCGTAATAAAGGTAGGTGTTTGACAGTTTTGATTGTCTGTAGACACAAACGGCACTAGGTCTCTTTCCATTTCTTTTTACACAAATATATTTTTACTTCAGGACTGCAGTGTATGCAGTACCTTAGATCTGTAATAGCTTAATAACTTTCATGTAGATTAGTTGTTGGTTTTTTTTATCTAAAGTGTATTAGAACTGCAGTAAATCTGACCTTGACATGTAACAAATGCTTTTTATTTCATATGATATTTAAATCTTTCCAAGGTAATTTTTTCAGCTCATTATTTTCTCGATTTTGTCTTCTTTTCTTTTTTCTTATCAGATCGAGCGTTTGCAGAATGTCCATCTGCGTCGGGGCTACGAAGTGAAGAAGAAGCAGATTTCTGATAAGAACGCACATAAGGGCGCAGGTGAAAAGCTTCTGTACCACGGGACGACCCAGGACAACTGTGACTCCATCATGAAGACTGGATTCAACAGGAGCTTTGCTGGACAAAATGGTAATGATCTGCTGTGAAAATAATGCAACAGTGACATCTGCAGACTGTGGCTGCTTACTGTTGTTTTGGAGTGATCTATTTTGGGTGTTTGTTTTCATCTGGATTGACAACCTCAGTGTTTCTAAGGTCGTGGCTAAAGAGCCCTGATTGAAAGCAACTGTACTGGCATTTATTTCTGTGAAAACTGTTAGATCACTACTTTGAAAAACATGCTTCTTGCTGCATTTCTCCCTTTACCACTTTTTCTCCTCCACTTTCATTTCCCTTTATCCGGACTGTCTTTATCAGAAAAATGATGAGCAACAAGCACTGCTATTTAGTTTAAACGTTTAAATGATGCATGTTTTCATTTTCCTGAACAGTATTCTCTTAAGGTGTTTGAAAGTACAACGTGTCAATGTTAATAATCCCATAATTTCTTATTTATAACAGTGACCATTTCCCTAATCATGTTGGTACTGGGGTTCTTCTTGTTTATTGCCTCGTCTCTCTCATTCCCAGCAACTGCGTATGGACATGGAACCTACTTTGCCGTAAATGCCAGCTACTCAGCCCACCCCACCTACTCCAAGCCGGCTGCTGACGGTTCTCAGTTAATGTTCGTGGCTCGAGTCCTGACTGGCGTCTACACCGCGGGCTACGCAGGCATGAAGGTGCCGCCGCCTCTCAACGACCAGCAGCCACACGACCGCTACGACAGCGTGGTGGATAAAATAGACAACCCCAGCATGTATGTCGTGTTTCACGATAGCCAAGCGTACCCGGAATACCTCATCACCTTCAAGTGACTGTGAGGGAAAGTTTATGTGCAAGCTCATAGGTGTAGAGGAATTCTTAAGAATAAAGTAAAAGAGATGTTGACGTATGTAGCGTTATAGTTATAAGTAAGACTGAATTAAATTAAATTAAATATGTAAGGCCTAAAATAAAGGATAAATTAAAGAAAAAACATATATAGGAAGATAGATGTAAACATTTGGTAAATTCAGGGGATAAATAAAGTATCTATCTATTTATAAGTGTAATTACTCTCCAAAAGGGGGAGACAAAGGTTCCTCACTTCAGGTTCAGTAATGTTAAATCATTGATGGTGCTATTGTAAAGTTTAACACGTTGCTTCTAATAAAATAAAAATGTCAAAATGAAGTCTCATCACTGACTCACATACATGCACAGTTACAGGGAACACGTCACATAAGTCTGCTGTTGTTAATCTTTTATTTGGTTGATATTTGTGTTCGTTCTTGTACAGAGAAGAAGAAGAGAAGAGACTGATTTTATAGCTTCATATGAAGAGGAAGACTTTACTCGAGTAGACATGTTGATATCTGAATTTAATCGATGTGAAAAGTGGGGGTAAATTTTGAAAAGTGTTCAATTGTTAAAGTTAAAGCTGCAAAAATCACTATTTGGTACATTAATTGAAAGATCAAATGGATCGCTCATAATCACAGAGAATTATCACCCAACTCTGAAGCTCATCTGAGCTTTTTAGCATCTTTTAGCTCATTGTTTTGATTTTATGGCACATTTACTGTTTAGTTCTATGTCACTGGCCTTATCAACCATGTTTCTAGCAGTGTCAGAAAGCCTTTATTTGAAAACCCGGCTCTGATAAAGCTGCCTGCCCAGTGCCTTAATGGCAGACGGAGAGAGAAAACATAATCAATCATCCATCAGCTGAAGAGCCAGATATTTTTATTTTTAAACTTAGTGGAAAAGATAAGGTAAGTCAATATTGGGCTAAAATTCATCAAGAAAACAAAAGAAATCCAGTGGTAATGTTGCTCTGTGTCTGCTGGACTTTTTTCAGAGTAATACTGCCCCCTAGTGGCTGGAAATCCATTACTGCAGCTTGAAAATAGAGATACTTGTGTATTTGTATACTTTGGAGCTAAAAATACTTACGATTTTTGGAACAAAAAACAATGTGAGATAACACTGTTTGTGAAACTGTTCTTTCTTGATTGTAAAAAAATCTCATAGCTTTCTTGTGTGTAATAGGTTACGAAAATCTTTTTTTGTTTTTTGGAAAGATCTTAAGGCACATGCAATTGTTATGACTACTACCTCTGCAGAGTATGTTAAAACTATAACCGTTGTTATAAGTGCTGAAGCTATACCTGTTGTAAACCTACAGCTACATAACTATGTTATAGGCCTATATTTGTGCTGAAGTGTAACTGAGTTAAATGAAGTAGAGCATCCGCGATCCCGTGGTGATCCTCAGGGCTTGATGGTGACGGTTGCCTGGCCGTACACCTGCCTGAGATCAGGACAGTCCAGAGTAGCGATCATCCTGGTGGTACCGACCCTCTGCGGGGTGAAAAACTCGGTCCAGGTCAGAGAGGAGCCTCCTGGGATCATCCTGAAAACAGAAGGGTTAGAGTTAGATACCGACAGGACAGGGTTGGTCAAGAAGCAGTAACATTATGCAATTAAGGCACAAAACACAGGTGTAAATAATGCTTTAGTAATACATGACTCATTACTTCACAGTTATTTCATATATTAATTTATATGCCAACAAATTAGCTAGAATTAGTTACATAGAAAATAGGATTTCTTGCCCATTTAACAAAACATTTCTTATGATTATAATAATAATAATATAAAGATGGAATTCACTCATTAAATCAACATGAATGATACATTAGTTATGTATAAGTGAAGCATGTATTTTGTACCATTATTACGCCCTTTTCTTCTTTGGGGCATATTCAGGAAAGAAAATTGACATGATGTGGTTATGAATAAAAAGAATCTGACCCTTACATAAAGAAATACAGTTTTTTTTTTTTAATGTAATTTAAATATCAAAACGGGAGTTCAATTCAGGTAATGGATTTCTTTTATAATGCAAATTTGGCAAAATATCTACAGGCCATCATGAGACTTTTGTGCTACACAACCTACACACAGATGTGAACAGATGAATGAACGCTGCAACATTATGAAAAGTGGTGCTTTTAAATGAAAACGAGTGATTTTCACTTCAGCTGAAGGTTTGTGTCAGCTATGACAAGGGCACCATCTTGAGTTTGACACACACACACGCACACACACACAAACCTATTTCTTTTGTGCTGAGCTCACCTGTAGTATTTGGACTTGGGCGCCATGATCCCAGGTCCTTCCATGCGAATGTAGACGCTCTCCAGGCTGAAGGTGAAGGGGTTTGTGAACTGCACACTCGCCATCATCTCTTCGTTCACTCTGCCTCCACCGGACACCTGAAGTTCACACGGGACGTTCGTTATACGAACAACTTCACAAATTCAACCCACGAGATATTGCGTTCATAAACTGAAGTGAAGTCCTTGGATCGCCGGCTCTGTGCGATTGGACTGTAGATAACAGACACTTTTGAACAAAGCTGTCGTATGTCGTGTAGGGTGTGTACAAACAGACGAAATGGATCGATTTGTGTTGAAAGTTTTACAATGACAGCGAGCATTATTTCAGACCTCAACAAGGATTTTGGGGTTGCGTAGGGCGACGATTTTCATGGTGGAGATGATCTGGCCGGTCTCCTGGACCTTCCCGGTGATAATGAAGTTGAGGTTGGCCTGTTCCACCAGATGCCTCATGTAGCTTGATGACTTGACTGCCACCAACTCCTTCACAGCTGCAGAGTGAAAAAATACAATCCTGCAATTTCTTCTTTCTTTTAATTGCGTGTGTTTTTGTTTTTTCTTTTAGATCCACAATATTTATGATCCAGAGCAGAGCTTTATTCGATCAAGACAAAAGTAAATAAATAAACACTCACTTTGGTTGGGGTCGATCTCCACGGTGGGATCCCTGAACAGGAACTCAGACCTGGTGACTCCGGTGTAATACACCATGTTCCCGCTGATGTAGGTGTCCACGGTGCGCTGCTGGTTGCTTCGGTTGATGAACTCCACGCTCAGCTCAAAGTCGTCTCCCACGCTGACCTCCAGGGTGGGCACGACCAGGTCCACGTCAGCCAGGGGAGGGTTGGACTTCTCTCGATTGCAGCCATACTCATCTGCTTTTTCCAGGACGGTCCGCTCCTCTGTACTGCCTGGATTGGATGATTGAAATAAACGAGTGTGTTTGCACATTTCTATATTTCAAAAGGAAAAATATCGATGTTTGTTTTAGGTTTTTTCAAAAAGTTTTCCTTCCTGATCACCTGTATCTGTTATATTTGCAGATATCAGGACTTTCGTTTTACTTTCTTTCATCCCTCAGTAACAAAATACTTTATATATACTGTTGCCCATAAAGCTGGAATCCTCTGTTTATTCCTATTTAAATGCATCAGTAATCACTTTTGACCAGGTGCAATGATTACATTATGTTTCCCAATTGCCCAGGTGAAATGAAATAAATCAGATTGTCACAATCATTTCATGGAAAAAGGGAAAAAATATTTTATTCCAACTTTATGAGCAACAGTGTATACATAAGTACCAGGCTGAAAGGTCTTAATCCTTATACAGTGTATCTGTTAAATGTTGTTTTCCTGTTTTCCGTGTGCCATTGCGATCAGGGTAAATATATTCATGCGTTTGTGTAAATCATAATCTGAGGCTGCAGTAGAGAAAACTGCCATTTGCGTCGGACGGCGTCACCAACCTTCAGAGAACTTGTACTGATCGGTGATGTCACGGCGGGTCAGGTCTCCCGGAGTTTTGGTCAGAACCATGCGGCCTACATGAGTCCGGTTCACTTTGACTGGCTCCATGGTCCCGTCTTTTCTCCGGGAATAAAACACCACGTCGCTGTTGACCTGTCGGGAGAGGGAGAGAGAGAGAGAGAGAGAGAGAGAGAGAGAGAGAGAGAGAGATTGAGCCTCCACAAAAACTCAAAGAAAAACTACAGGTACACAGGTACAGTGTAGACTTAGACTCTGCAGACAATAACAACAGAAACTTTTTTTTACTGACATTTACACTGAAATAATAATAAAGATTCACCTCAGCAAACACAAAGGTGGCATCAAAGGGGAAGCATATCTGCCCATGTTTGATGGCCTGGACTGATGCAGGGCCACATCTGTACATGCCTGATGGATAATGGAGGAAGAGATTAAATATTGACGTGCCAGTACACTGTATTTTCTTTTTATCCTGACTGAAAACACAGAAAACAATGCTCCATTCTTTGCATTGCATATAGTGAAAATGATTTTATTCACATTTCGATATGTTGTTATTATGAAGCTGGCAACTATTTCATGTTATTATTATTTACCGTCGCTGGTCTCCTGTGGTGTTGCATCCACAACCTGCCAGCCTCCAAAGCCAGCTGGGAGGTCCGGCCTGGTCATGTAGCACTCATTCCAGCAGTGATAGTTCCTGACAATGACAAACATTATTTTACATTATCATTATCTAAACTTGTGTGTTACTAATAGATGCCCCTAAAATTGTCTACAGCCTGTATTGTGGATGTGACTGTTATAGCTTTAGTAGCACAGGGGTTAAACACGTTTGTCCTGAGCCTGGCGCTGTATGGAAAAGGCCATGCGGTCATTAAAATCATAGCTCAGCTGTGGAAGACTGAATGTGTCCAGCAAATGTGATTGGTTATGCGATATCTTGAGGTTTTTGGTCTGAAATGGCACGAGAGGGAAATTTTCAAAATGGGAAGGTTCATCCTCTGAGGAGCATGAATGTGCTCAATAAATTTCATTGCAAACTGACGCCATGAACTGTCACGCCTTTTTTAACACCTTGTCATGAACCAGATTGTTAGGAAATAGCGGGAACAGCAGAATCCTTACAGGCCACGACAACAGCAGCTTAAAAATGTCAAATTGAAATGAACATGTCGAGGACGGCGTGGTACCAGATAGAGTCTTTGGTGAGCTTGCGGTCAATCCTGCCACCCTCCTCCAGGATGATGTCAGTCTTCAGGTTCCCGTCGTTGTCATGGGCAGAGAAGTAGTTGGTGACGACCCGGGATGGGATACCCAGACAACGCAGGACTAGGACACGGTGGCAAAGACAGAAATCAAATAGTGGATAGACTGGAACAGAAAAGAAAACTGGCCACAGGTTCTCAACTGAGTGAAGTGACCCAAAATATCAAAGTATCAGCCATGTCAAGAGTTGGTTAAATTCTGTAAACATGGAGAAAAGGTGCCTCTGTTATTCCTTTCCTATGTGCAGGAGCCTAAGACTTACAACAACCATCCTTCATGAAAGGAGGAAGGGAATTTATTTTCACCCCACACGAAAGCAAAAATCAGTAATTGGGGAAAATGTGAATTTTAAGTTTATTTGGATCCATTCAAGATCTCACAGGTGTTGAAGACTGCGGCGTAGACCCAGCACTGAGCGTAGCAGACGGGCATCTTGCTGCTGGCGTAGGTGAGCAGGATGTCTGTGCTGCCAGTCCAGGAAGTGGGCGCCACTCCGTAGGTGTAGTCGCCGCTCCAGTTCCCCACCAGCACGCCGTCGTCATCCCGAGAGTTCATCTGAGTGCAGCAAAGAGCAGATTTGAGACATACTGTTCTGATGAAACACAGCACAACACATTACTGACATCATAAGCCTTTCTGCATATTCATATTGACTGCAATCGAAAATCATAATATCATAAAAATAAATAAGCTTATAACCCTTTTATGCTTTTAAATGCCAGAAGCCTTTTCCTCTGAAGTCTGGCAGCTAAAGAATTAGCATTTCACAGTTTAAGTGGAGTCTTATGGAAAGAAAACACTAAGTTAAGACATTGACATTGTACATTTTATTATTCAACAATATTCTTTATGTATTGATGCAACATTTAACTGCATATCCAATCAATCTAAAACCCAGTTTCATGTGTTTTAAAAGGATGTCTACAATATTTTCTTACCATAGCAGAGGCCTTTCTGGTCACCTTGATGGGGTCTCCTCTGTTGGTGATGGGCATCTCAGACCTGTCCATGATGTACAGACAGGCATCCAGGACTCCATAGTTAAACTAGGGGGTGATAAAACAGTTGAATTAGACATTTTAAAATCAGTAAATGAGTCTTCGGAGTGGTTGATTGGTGTTTTCCTCCTACCTGTCCGTAGTTCCAGTCTCTCTCAGCGATGTCGTCGTAGGCGCCGTGGTAGATGATCCCCATCTCGGTCATCACACACTCCTCCCTCTCTCTCTCATCATCCAGAAACACGGCGTCATCTGAGGAAAAACAACAGGTCGTGTGGATGTTTACCAACGTGAAAACCGAGACAAAAGTCAAAACTTCATGTTGCGTATCAATGGTTCAATATAAATGACGCAAAAGTTGTGACTGTGAGGCCCGAAACCGACCCGAGGCCCAGGGGTTGAAGAGGATGTAGAGGTCTCGGCTTTTCTCCTTCCTGGTCCTGCGGATGCCGTAAGTAGTCGCCACGGCAACGTACATGTGGTACTTCCCCACAATGCAGTTCGCCGCAGGAGTGATGCCCATGGTGATCTCGTTGCCCGATGTGTGTGTGATGCGGCCCGCCCAGGAGCTCTGACGCTCCTTCGTGGCGAAGACAGGGATGTAGGTGCCCTTGCTGTACTGGGGGCTGGAGCCTGGGTGGACAGCGAGCGATGGCTTATTTAAGTGAGTGAAAACACTTGTGACAAGAATAAAATACATTTTTTCTTAAAATGGTGGTAAGAAAATACCTAGATACTTAGATATATGAACTACTGAACGGGAGCTAACTTCCATCAATTGTCAAATACGATAAAAAGAAGGGAAGATTTCTTTTAGATAAAACTTATCTTCACGAGCTATTGTATAATTATGAGAAACAAACACACCTGGCTGATTTTTCATAAACTAGCTTCCGTACATTAAGAAGAGCGCTTTGGTTTCTGTTGTCTTGAAACCCTTCAGACATTTCAAGCGTCTATCCATCTCTCAACACATGAACTGGACTGAACACGTGATCCAGAATTAAGCGTGTGATTGTTTTCTGCAGATTGTAAAAGACCATCAACACTACAGTGTTCTGCGCTCACCGATGACAAACTCCAAAGCAATCTTGTCTCGCGCAGAATCGTAGGGACGGTCGAAGGTGATCTTGACCTGGAACTCTTGCGCTCTGCGGACGATGAGATTGTCGGAGTTGTAATACATGGTGTGGTGTTCCACCTTGTTGCTCTCGTCGGGCCTCCGCATCATGTCCACGCCACTGATGTCGAGAAACTCTGAAGGGGACGAAGACGGGGACGAAGGGAACAGGATGTCTCAAAAAACTTTGCAGGCAGAAAACAAACAGAGCAGATTTTGGAAGTGATGCGAATATGTCATTGTGCACATACTTTACCTGATGATATTTTACCTGAGGAGCCTTACTACCTTAATGATACACTGCTATGCTAAACCTTTGCCCTAATATATAGAGGCCAGAACATTCCTCTAACGTCACAAGTATCTCTCTCATATTAACAATTGATCATTTAAGTGATTAAATTACAGCTTGTGATGGAGAAACTAAGTTTTGGAAAGTGTTTTTAGTGGTGAAGTGTCAGCAGCTGTGGAACTTAGCTATTAGAAACCCGTCAGGTATTTATTTGTTGTTAGTTGCTGATAATCTGATTTACTCCAGTAATTACGGACACTGCATTCATAAGTTACCGACACATCTGGATATCTGTGTGTGTGCAGCTCAGGCTGTGGTTTAGCGACACGCTGCAGGAAGTGAACAGAACTTATCCAGTTTGGACGTCATTCACGTGTCAGTCACTCAGAACTGGAAAGTGTCATTGCTGGGAAAAGGACTTTATCTTCTCCAACTAAGACACACTGTGACATCTGTCTGCTTCTTTGACAAACAACTTTTTCTCCATTATGTAAAAAAAAAAAAAATTAAAAAATGGAGGCCTGTTACACGATAAGCTCTTATTCATGAGTTTATTGTGTAACACTATTTACCCTTATGATTTTAAAATGACTTTCCCACATGGGGAATTTCATCCACTTGCATTTGATTGCATGTGTTTGTTGAAACATAATTATACAATTACTGTCCACACACACACACACACACACACACACACACATCCAACACAATACTCCTCCCTCACCAGTCAGAGGGGGAACTCCTCTCGGGTGCGGTGCACCATAGAACTCGAAATCGGGGATGTCCGTGGAGTCAGAGTTGGAGCTGGCGGTGGGACCTGCGGAGCGGCCGCGGTTCGTCACCTTGGGAGGGGGTCCGGTGGGTAGAGGAGGGGCAGGTGAGGGAGTCGGGGAGGTATCTTTATCAGACATGGTGGTGATAGCTCAGGGTGGATGATCCCTCGCAGGTCTGGAAGAGGAGAGAGGATGGAGAACAATGTGTTAATTTCAGTATTGGACACATTATTTCTCCATTGTTTTCACAGTATTTAATATAACATATTACATAACATAACATTTGATGTCAAGTCTAAGATTTGCGTGTACACCAGTTTTATGCAGTTTTTAATAGCTCCCAAGTTCCCATCATGCTCTTCATTCCTGCACAGTGGGCCAGCAGTTCTCACACTCATCTGCGTTACATCTGTGGATACAGTGGAAACACGCCAGAGTGTGTGTGTATGTGTGTGAGAGAGAGAGAGAGAGAGTCCTCGTAACTTTTATTCAAGAAGGAGCAAGTAAAGTTGACAAACGCAAAGAAAAGTGGTTTCCATGTGTGCTTGTGGTTTGGGGTAGAGGGGAGTTTGCAGTCACGCCCCCTCCTGTAAGACGCTGGTGAGGAAACATGCTCTTAGTGTTGGGTGTTTATTTTCACTTTTCCAAATATTGTCTTGTGTGTTTGTGGTCACACACACACACACACACACACACACACACACACACACACACACACACACACACACACACACAGAGGAGCATCAGTTTTAAACCCAGAGCATTAATCATGTCTATTAAAAGACAAAGTTATGTACATCTGACAAACAGAAGAGTCACTCCCAGTCGTGGAGCCGCAGCCTTCCTTCCCACAGGGTTTTCAAAGGTGTGATGTCGTGTAATTGTGACGTTATGTTTTTACAGAAATAAAAAGTTTTGAAATAAAAACACAATTCAACCCTTTATAAAAGTGGTGCGTTCATGCAGAGGAACAGGGACTATATAAGTGAGGCAGGAGTAGTGATGTGGCAGTAGTAGCAGTGGTATTACTGTGAGCCAGTACCAGTGGTAGTAGATATTGTGTTGTGGTGGTAGTAGTGGTAATTAATACTTATATGTGTGAAAGAAATGTCATATTTATAATATTGTATTTTAGTATTTGAGTACTTCTCTTAAATAATGTACTTTTTACTCAGTTATTAATTAACATTTAATTGAAAGTTTTAGTACTTACTGTAGTACTTTTTAAAGTTTTTTTTCCTCAGAAGATTTTACATATAAAAACATGTTAATCTTATAAAACTATGATGAATTGTTGTAGATTAAAGTACCAGGCAACAGTTTTTTGTTAAATGAGAGCTTCCTCTCCCAGCTGCAACAATAAAGTGCTGCTGAGTTTATGCAACAGTCAAAAAAAAATCCTATAATATAACTTTTTTGCATAATGAGTACTTTTATCTTTCACTCTTTAAGTGCATTTTTCTGATACTCCTTCTCTGCTTTCATACAGTAACTGTGAAAACATCTGCATATCTTCGGTGTAAGTATTTACTATGTGCCGTCATCTGTCTGTCTGTCTGTCTGTCCCTGTGCCGGCCTGCAGCGGGTACACATGTCCATCTCTGCCACCGGTGGTCGAGGTGAAAACAGAGTGCTCACTGTGCTAAATGACTCACGCAGCCGAACATGGTCTCAAAGGTCTCTCCTCGTCCAGCACACTCCCACATTGTGCAACAGTGAGCCTCTTTCTCAGGCAGGTGTTTGTACCACAAACGTGCTCACTCCACACTGTGCCCCCTGCTAGCATGTAATGAAAACAGATGTTGTGTGTTTAATAGTTAATACCGCTCTGCCCCCTGGAAGCATGTTTTAGGTGGTGGACCCCATGTGGGCTGAAGGGTTGCTGTAATTTTAGTTGCTTTGTGTTTTGTGGATTTAATGAGTCACAGTGAGTACACCGAGGCTCTTTGTTTACATGGATTTGATGTGTTCCCACCCAGGGCTAAGTTTGATTAATTACCATAGAGGTCAGTCAGTAAGTTTTAGTTGATTTGGTTCGTTGTTTTCACCTTTATAGCCTCTTTTCATTAACTGAGTTTATGTGGTTCACCCTGAATGGAAACAACTTGTTTGGTCTGACTTTTCCACTTGAACAACTGGCACTACTACTATTTGTAATGTACCCATCGTAGTGGATGAATTATTACTACATGTCTCCACTACGGCTACGACTAACAGTCATTCTTATTAACAGCTATTTTCTTGATTAAAGTCACCACATATCTTAGGTGATGCCACTTCTTTCACAGCACTCTGATATCTTCAACTAAAAGCACAAAAGTACTAAAGCCAGATGTTGCAAAGTATCAAAAGTAAAAGTATTCATTATACACAACACACCCTTTCATAGTGTGATGATATTCTAGAGTTATTTCTGATGCATTAGCATGGAAGCAGCAAATGTACTGAAATAAAAAGTATAATACTTTGAATTATAAAGCGACACAAAATGGAAATACTTGAGTAAAGTACAAGTAAATCAAAAGTCTACTTAAGTGCATTACTTGAGTGAATGTACTTAATTGTTTCACATCCCTGAGCTACAAATCTTGTAAAACGTTTTCTTGGGCTCTAATTCAGTGACGTATGCACACACACGTTTCTTAACACAGCTCTGGCAAATGCTGATGCAGGAAACCTCGGCAGAGGTTTAACAACCTGTTTGTGCTGACTGTTTAAACCCACTTTTCACAGCAAAACATGAGTTAAATAGACCAGGTCTGCATATATAATAAACATTTAGAGACAAAAAAACTATACATTTCAATATTGTTGATGCAGAAAGACTAACAACCAGACCAGGAGCAAACACTGACTGCAACCACTGAAAATACTAACAGTGTAAAACCCCTGGGTTATTAGTTTGACTGTGAGTGGGAAATGGAAACAAATTGTTGGTGAAAGAAAAGTGCATAAAAAAAGATGATGAAATGCTCCAATGTGCATGACATATGGTGATGTACAAAAGGTTTGTAGGCGTTACGCCAAATAGTTTGGAACTACAAAACTCGGTGACAGATGTGTCAGCAAATTAATTTGCATCTTCACATCTGGAAGATATAAACAAAACAAAGTTACCAAACTGCTAACAAATCTTGGCGCAATAAAATTGTACCAAAGTGAGAGTTTTTACTTACGAATGCAACCTTCGTATGTGTGTCGGTGCAGAGTGGACGCAGCACAGACGCCGTTGGAGAGAGGAGCTGCTGTTGGTTGGTTGGAGTCAGTCTGCTGCTGCTTCTCCGACTGGGAGTCCTCTGCTCCTGCTTATATACCCTACAGGGGCAGGGAAGATCTATATGTGTGTGTGTGTGTGTGTGTGTGTGTGTGTGTGTGCGTGTGCACGCGCTCTGTGGGGAAATAGTGTTGTCTTGGGTGTAACTGGTCAGTCCAACTTGGGAACAGGATGTGGAATCTACCATCTCTGCACAAACCACAGCTGGATGGGGCTCAGACAGATAAAGTCACAGACGGATCGAGTCTCATTCCAGACGTCTCTGTCAGAGGACACACACACACACACACACACACACACACACACACACACACACACACACACACACACACACACAGTGATATGAAATGATTATGTTAAATCTTACTAATTCACTCCTATATCCCTTTCTTTCACATCTTTGTTTTGTTTCACTGTTTTTGTCTGAACTGAAACATCTTTACAACTGTTGGATGAACCGCCATGAAATGTTGTTCAGGTATTCATGTTCCCCTGAGGATGAATTGTAGTAACTTATCCATACATCCATCTATTAACTGTACCACTTATCCTTTCAAGGTTCGGGGGCTGACATGCTCCTATCCACACTTACAGGCAATTCAGAATTAACCTGCTTGTGTTTGGACTGTGGGAGGAAGCTGGAGTTCAGGAGGAAACCCACAAACTGCACTCAGAGTGGCCCCCGGTCAGTCGGCAGGTTCAAACCCAGAACATCATGACTGATAAACATCTGCATGTCAGCGAATTAACACCCCTGTCCTTAAGCAAAGCCTCACTGAATTGCTATTCTTGTTAAATTCATTATTATTGTAAATGTGCCAGTGCTTCAATTCTGAGAAGCTGAAAAGAAAAATTGTCTGTAACATTGTGCAACATAGGGTATGTGATGTATTCATTTAGTATTGCCAATGATTCATGTTTATCTTGCGCTCAGATTTGTAATTGTTTGTTCACAGGCGCAGCGCTGACTGATCTCTATTTCAGTATGTTGGTTTCACTATTGTTGATCTAAGCGTTATTTATCTCAGCGTTCTTTGTAGTTCTGCTCATTTTAGTTCTGTTTGAATTCCGGTCACAGGTGTGTTTGGTGTGCTGGCCGTCCACTCACTTTTGATGGTGCTGTGGTTTGTCATTACTTATTTACCAGCGCAGTGTTTTTATTTTAAGGGTTGGTTTTCGGTTTGTGTTATTGCTTCCATGGTGAAGGACACTCCCAGCGCTTCACCGCTGGGTTGTTTGGCTTCTGGTCGTGGTTTTGGTTTTTGTTCTTAATAAATAGCCAATTATGCAACAAGTCCTCCAAATCAAACAACTCCACTGCAGAGGGGCAACGCAGAGAGGCGTTTACCCATTGGACGCCTCTCTTGACAGGAAATCATCATGTCACAAATCACGGTCGAATATCGTGGCAACGCTGTGGTTAAAGTTTGGTTTAGGGACAGATCATGATTGGAGTTAAAATGACTTTATACTTCTATTACTTTTACTGTTCGTGCCAATATTACTACATGTATTGCTGCCACCTTTCCTGCTACAGCTTCACTGCTCGTATCATTACACCTGCGTTACTTCCTCTGATACTCAGACCACTCTCTCTGCATCCACTCTAGCATGTATACAGTTTTCCAAATTGGCAGTGATACGGTGTTGAAGGAGTAGTAAAGAGCAAGAAATGAGTCCAAACACAATAAAGGACACAAAAAGTCCCTCTGCTGAAGAGCCAGTGCAACAGATTCCCCTCAATCATCTGCTGCGACCAAGAGTTTCCATCAGCACGACCCAGTACAAGAACATAAAAGAGTTTAATTTCCCTCTGAAGCAGAGGTGTGTGTACAACCTTCACTTCAGACCTGATTCTAAGTCTGTAACACATGTGCAAACACACACACACACACACACACACACACACACACACACACACACACACCACTGCAAGTTTCCGTGGCTCCCATTTCCACCACTAGCGTTATCTTCCTGATCGACCAGTTAATTTTAGGGACAAACTGATCAGTAAAGGCCAAGTCGAATGTATATGTTACATTAAAAAGAATAACTGTGAGCTTCAGTGCTGATGGTGATGGTGGTGGTGGTGGTGGGGGGGGGGGGGGGGTCTGTTTTTTATTCATCATATGGAGATTTTTAGATGCCAGGCAGCCTCACATTTGGGGAGGGAAGTGCTGCAGGGAGTCCAATAAAAAAGTAATTCATTTGACATTTACAAAAAGCCTCACACATGTGAAAAGGCATCCATCATGTTAATATTCACCAAACACTTAACAGGCCTCAAAACAACTCCGCTTGGGTTAATGGCGCCAAATCAGCGCGGCTGATTCAGTCCTTTCCATAAACAGGGTTTGTTTTTATTAACCCTGACTGGTGCTGAAGGAAAGGGTGAATCATAAAGGACGTGATCTAATGTGCGTGTGTGTGTGTGTGTGTGTGTTTTCGTGGGACTCACTGGGCTGGACATGAGAACGTGTTGTACCATGTATGCAGCCAGGGACGCCACACAGCCAAGGTGTGGCGGTGACAGCAAGCAGCTCTGACCACAAGCATGATGAAAGGATGCTGGCTCTTCACACAATGCGACGTCTGTTACAAAACACATGTATCTCTATTTTAGATTACGATGAGTTACAACCACAGACTTCATCTATCATTAGCTGTTCTGTTTTGTTCTGTTTTGGTGTTGATTTAGTATTTTCTGTACGACACAAATACCACAAAACCAGAACTGATGGAGCGAAGTACAAAATATTGGACTTAATCCTTTCACTACATAATGCTGAACACATAAACACGTTTTGCCATGCAATTTGAGTAATTGGAAAAAATAATCTCACCAAGGTCGAGGTCCATTTAGTAGCTGTTCTGGATCTTTCTATTGTACATCATCGTCCTCACCAGCTGAAGTGTAGATGCTCAAATCTTCATTCTGTCGGAGCACTTTAACTTCTCGTCCATTCTGGTTCAAAAGACGAGTTTAAAAGTTCATTCTTGACCATGAAAATCAACATATCAAATGGTGAAGATCATGCGATATGATCAAAAACTCAAGAACAGTTACTAAATGGACATTGTGACAAACTGCCGTTTGTGAGAATCATGATTTCATTATGTAACAGTCAATAAATGAAGGAACATACAGTGTGTACTTTGATGCTCAGATAAACTTATTGCCAGATGTTCTTCCTCATTCGACGCTCATGTTTCTTTCAGCTTCTACACTGTGGGAAATTTTCATCACAAAATTAAGAGTTTTTCATTTTTTTCGAAAAACACTCCACTGCAGGTATTTCATTTCATTTGCACTTTGTATAAAACCGACTTCTCTGCGCTGTTTTCTCACTGAAGTCACACTGTCCTTTCAAGCACGCAGACAATGCGATGTGAGGAAGGAACTCTTCACCACAAGGCAAAGTTAGCTCTGTATGAATTTGCTTGCTGGGAGAGGAAACAGAGCTGCCACACATTTACCACAGGACAGTGTCTGACGGTAAAGAGCTCTGCAGCTCTCAACATGAAGCCTGCATGTGTGTTTCAGCCATTTGTTCTGTGTATGTACAACATGTGCATGAATGAATGAATCCTTGCAGCTGCGTGCAGCATGCATGTATGCACTGGTGTGTTTTGGAAGCATGTGCATATTCAACTGTGTCATAAAAGCCTCACTGTGCCACCTCTTAACTTCCTGTCATCTTCATTGAGCATACGTTAGAAAACCACAGGTGGGTCACATGACACGGAAAACTTTCCACTTTCTGTCTGCAGCTTGTGCAGCACGGATCCTCGTTTTAAATCAAATAACTATCAAGAGTGTTTCTGTTCTCTTTCACAATGACGCTGAAGAAATTCTTCCTTTAAAGGTCGCACAGGAAACCAAAAAGAGGAAGAGGCACAAGAGGAAGAAAAGTGGACAGAGAGAGGCGATGGACACGACAGATGAGAACAGCAGTCGAGTCACCGTGGCGAATGGTGGTGAGTGTATTGTTGAGCTCTTCCATTATTTGTTTATTTAAGTTCTGTAAAATCTGAAATTAGCTTTGGCTACAGCAAAGAGAATAATACAAGTTTGTACTTTCTGACAGCAAGTTGTAATTGTACGTTGAGGAATTTCATAATAAAAACATTTTAAAAAATAAATAAATAAATATTTGACAAGAAAAATATAATCATCTAGTTTCAGTTCTTGAGATAAGACAGTAAAAAAAACTGAATAAATTCAAGTATAAAGCAGAAACTAGACGTCTGACTGCTCTGTGACTCTGTGTTTTGTGTCATTCAGCTTATCCGGTGCGGTGCACTGAGGAAGTACTTCTCCCTTTCTTCACAGATGAGAGTCTGCAAGCTGCAATGGACTCCAGACGCCCTCCTGCTTCAACCAGCGTCCCTCCTGCTCTCCCAGAACTCAGACTGGTCCTCCTGGGCAGGAAAGGAACCGGGAAGAGCGCGGCAGGCAACACCATCCTGGGAGGAGTGGGAGGGTTCGAGAGCGGGAAGCCCACGGAGGAGTGCGTGAAAAGACGAGCTGACGTGGCAGCGAGAAAAGTCACAGTGGTGGACACACCTGGGTGGGAGTGGTACTACCCGCTCAACAGCACCCCCAACTGGGTGAGGAGAGAAACTTTACGGAGTGTATCGCTTTGTCCTCCTGGACCCCACGCTGTGCTCCTGGTGGTTCGGTCCTGCGCCTCAGTCACTGACGCCTACATCTCTGAGATAGAGGAGCACCTGGAGCCGCTGGGAAAAGGAGTCTGGCAGCACACCATGCTGCTGTTCACCAGGGGAGACGAACTGGGCCTCACCACCATGGAGCAACGGATTCTGACCAGCGGCCCACCTCTCCAGAGACTCCTCCAGAAGTGTGGGAACAGATACCATGTTGTGAACAATCGCAGCAAAGGAGACGGGACGCAGGTCAAAGAGCTGATAAGGAAGCTGGAGCAGATGGTGGAGGCGAAGGAAGGTGGAAACAGTCATCTGGAGATGGACAACACAGTGCTGCTGGGTTTGGAAGCAGACGGGAAGAGGAGAGCGAGGGAGAGGAGGAAGAAACAGAGGCAGATGGAGGCACAGATGCAGAGAGGGACCATCAAAGCAGCTCTCACAAGTGAGTTCTTCAGTCTGTTTGATTTGTAGAACTTCTCAAGTCCTCTCAAGTACATGCAATCATTTCATTTCATAATAAGGCGCAGACAGTGTTCGGTGCCATGCAGCTTAATCGGATTCTCCAAAACATGTTGAATGCATCTTTATTGGAATATGTAAATATAACACAAACATGTAATCAGTATTTTTTTTATTGTAATACTAAATCAAATGGACGAGACTGTAATTTGAATGGGCCGCTCTACAGAGCTTCTTTAGCCTCATTTAACCTCATTACTTTAGTCTTATATCTTGATATTTTCTGTATCATCTAATTTCACTTATTTCATCAAAACACGAAATAGTTGACTGACTGACTCACTGAAAATCTGCACCTTTGTCCCTGCCAGGTGATGGTCCTCAGGGCTCCGAGCTCGATGCTCATCAGTCTTTCTCCAAGGCTCCCCGACGTCTCCCCGAGGTCAGGCTGGTTCTCCTGGGTGAGCGCGAAACTGGAAAGAGTTCTGCTGGGAATACAATCCTCGGGAAAACAGGCTTCTTCCAAGCCGGGGCAGTAACAGAGGAGTGCTTCCGTCAGCAAGCAGAGGTGGCTGCGCGGCTGGTGACGGTGGTGGACACACCGGGCTGGGAGGCAGGTGTGGCGGGTGCTACACCGGAGAGGGTGAAGAGGGAAATTGTGGGTAGTGTGGCTTTGTGTCCACCAGGGCCCCACGCACTCCTGCTGACTCTGAGAGTGGACACACTGGTGACGGTGGGACATGTGAGGGAACATCTGGAGCTTTTGGGCGAGGGTGTGTGGAGACACACAATCTTGCTGTTCACCCACGGCGATCAGCTGCGAGAGGGGGTGGATATTGAACAGCACGTCCAGGGTGGGGGCAGAGACCTGCAGTGGCTGCTGGACAAATGCAGGAGCAGGTACCATGTCATCAGCAGTGTAGATGGAGGAGGAAGAGGAAGTGGAGGCTCCACTAAGGTGACAGAGCTCCTGGAAAAAGTGGAAAAGATGGCGACAACAAACAGGTGTGAGGCTTTCTCCTGTCTGGTTCAGGAGGTCAGGGATCTGAGCCGACAAAGGAACGAAAAGTTCAACCAGCGCCTGAAGGACGTGGGAGATAAGATGCTTCGTCAGGAGGTGGAGTTGAAGAATATGAGAGACAGAGAGATGAAGAGCATCAGATGGTTCTTTGATAGGAGGAAGAAGGTAAAATCACCTGGGAAGGCTGACATTCAAAGGGAAGAAGAGGAGGATGAGGACAGGAGGAGCCTCGGGGAAAGGAAGAATGATATTGGCGAACTAGAGGACAGGATACAATGGCTGACTGAGGATAAAGAGAGAGAAATTCAGGATATGGGCATAGAAAACGAGAGAATCCGCGTAGCACTAAACCAAAGTAGACGAGACAGGGACGAGGTGATGCTTAACCTGGAGCTAAAAGAGAGAGAGATTGAGGAGCTGACAGAAAGAATTGACGAGCAGCAACTGAAACTGCTCGACCTCGAACGTGCCGGTGTAGAAAATGAACATGAGAGAAAACAGAGGGAGGACGCCATTAGAGCGGAGAAACAAGAGTGGAGGAAAAAAGTGGAAAAATTGGAGGAAACTGTAAAGCTGCAGGAGAGAGAAAGAGCAGAGTGGATGGAAAAAGTTGATTCTTTAAAAGCAGAAATGGACGAGACAAAAAGACACTATGATGATGCTCTTGAGAGAAAAGAACGAGAAAATAACAGAGAGATGACAAAGCTGGAAGAAAAACTAAAAGAAGAGATGGAAATAAAGCTGTTTGAAAAAGACAAAGAGAAGGATGAGCTGAGAAAGAAAGCCTCGGAGGAAAAGCAGATAACTCTCGATAATGTAAAACAACATGAAAAAGAAATGGAAAGGAAAGTTGACGAAATGAAATCACAGCACGAGAAAGAGATAGAGAGAAAAACGCAAGAGAAAGAAACAGCAATACAAGACATGAAGGTGAAGCATCAGGAGGAGATCGCCAAAAAAATCAGTGAGAAAGAACAAATGATGGTGAGAACAAAAGTTCAACATCGAGAAGAGATTGATCAGAATTTGAAAGAAAAAGCACATGATATGGAAAGCATCAAACAACGGCATGAGAACGAAATTAGGAACATACAGCAAGAAAACCAGAGAGAGATTACAGATCTGAAAGAGCAGTTTGCAAAAGAAAATGAGGAACATAAGCAAGCGAAAGAGAAAGAGATAGCTGAGCTAGAACAAATGTATCACGCCCAAATAACAGAAAAAATGCTAGAAAACGAAAAAGACAAGGAACTGATTAATCTAAATCACAAAAAAGAAGTGGCACAGAAGATGCAAGAGAAAGGAAATGAAATAGAAGCTTTAAAACTTCAGCATCGGGAAGAAATGGCAAGAAAAACGAATGAAATGGAAAAACTGATGGAGGCGAGGAGAGCTGAACAGCAGGATGAGATGGATAGAAAAATGAAAGAAAACAAGGAAGCTGTAGAAAGAGTCCAACAACAGTACCTGGAAAAAATGAAGGAGATGGAAGAAGAAAGAAAAAGAGACACTGAAGAGCTGAAAGAGCAGTTTGCAAAAGAAACTGAGAGACAATTGCAGGAAAGACTAACAGAGATAAGAGAGTTAGAACAAAAATATGCTGCACAGATAGAAGAAAAAGTGCTAGAGAATGAGAAAGAGAAAGAAATGATTCATCAATCCAATAAAAAATACATTTTGGAAAAACTGCAAGAGAAAGACAGACTAACAGAGGAGTTAAAACGTCAGCACATTGATGAAATTAAAGAAAAAATGCACGAAAGTGAAAAAGAAAAAGAAAGATACAAGAAAGAGATGGAGAAAAAGGTGGAGGAAAAGGAAAAGGAGATTGAGGAGGTGAAACTGAGTGTCAAAGATCTGAAGAAAAAGCTGCAACACAAGGAGGAGAAAGAAATGGATCACACAAATTACAAAAAAGAAACAGAGCAAACACTGGAAGAAAGAGAAAGAGAAATTGAGGAGATGAAAGTAAATGTCAAAGAGATGAAAGAGAAACTGAAACAAAAAGAAGAGGCAGAAAAAGTACACGTAAAGAACAAGAAAGAAACAGAGCAAAGACTGGAAGAAAAAGAAAGAGAAATAGAGGCGACCAAAGAACATTTAAAACAACTTGAACAAAGAGAAAGGGATCAATTAAATCACAAGAGACAGATGGAGCAAAAACTGGAAGAAAAAGAGCGAGTGATAGAAAAGTTGAACCAGCTTTTAAAGGATATCGAAGAGATCCTGCAAAGGAAAGAAGACGAGAGAGGAGAAATTATTCTAAACCAAAAGAAAGAGGCAGAGCAGCGACTGCTAGACAGAGAGAGGGAGATGGAGGAGATGAAAGAGCAGCTTTTAAATGAAATGGAGAGAATGGTAAAAGAAAAGGAAAGTGAGATTGAAAGCATTAAACAGCAGGCCGACTCCAGGGAGATGAGATGGACGGAAGAGCAGAAGAAGAAGGATGAGAGAGGAGAAAACGAGATGAACAAGCTGATAGAAATCATCAATGCAAAAACTAAAGAAATAACACAAGCAAAGTGTCTTCTTGCAGAGAGAGACGGTGAGGTGGATGAGGCAAAAAAGACATGTGCAAACTACCTAAAAGAAATTGAAGATCTGAAAGAAACCAATCAAATCCAGACCTCCAGTATCACTGAGATACAACAACGTCACACAGAGCAGGAGAAGAAGAAAGATAGTGAAATTACGGAAAAACTGCAGGAGAAAGAAGCGGAGCTTGAGCAACTGAGGCAAAGAGACAGAGAAAACGAGAAAGAGATCGTCCAACTGAGGCTAACGATCGAGCAGACAAAGTCCGAACTGAAGGATCTCACCAACAAGATGGAAAGGGAGATGACGAGCATGATCCAGGAATACGAAAAGGAGATTGCAAGAAGAAATGAGAACATAGAATCACTGGCAAAGGAGAAGGACGACGCTTTAAGTCTTTTGGAGGAGGAAAGTCGGCAAAGTATTTCGAACGTTACCGAGAAATACGAACAAAGTCGCAAGAGAGTTGAGGAGCTGCAGGAGCAAAATGAGAAGATGAGAAAGGAGGCGGACAATCTTAAAATAAAGTATGAGGAGCTGAAGACGGAGAGTGAAGAAGAAGTTAGGAAACATCTCAGGGGATGTGAAGAGCAGGCAAAGAGCAAAGAATCTGAAATCCAAAGTGTTCTTGAAGAGAAAGATCTGGAGGTCAGGGAACTTAAAGAGGCAAATGACAAACTGCAAGTACAGATAGAAAGGATGAAGGAGAGGGACGATGAGGCGAAAACGCTGATGAATGAGCAGAGAGAGCATTTTGAGAGGCAGCTGGAGGAGAAACAAAATGAGTTCAGAATTAAGGATGAAGAGATTGAACAGAAATTCTTGGAAAGGGAAAAAGAAGTAGGGCAAAGGGAACAGGAGCTGAGTAGAAACGAAGAAGAGTTGAGCGAAAGAGGAAGTAAGTTAGATGCGAAAGAGGTAGAACTTGTTGAAAAAGAAGAAAAGCTGGAAAGTAAGGAACAAGAGCTTAGAAAACTGGAAGTGAATCTAGAGATACAACAACAAGAGCAAGAGGGAAGAGATCAGTGCGAGCAAGATGTGAGAGTGAAAGCGCAGATTATTGAGAAAAAGGAGAGGGAGCTAGAAAGCTTGCTTCAAGCTCTGGAAGGGAAACAGAAAGAGTTAAGCTGTCACGGTCAAGACCTTCAGAAGAAGGTAAGAGGTCTGAAGGACCAGGGGAAAGAGCTAAAAGATAGGGAGCACTATTTAAAAAATGAAGAACAGGAGTTGATCAACTGGAAGTCGGAGTTGCAGATACGAAACGAGCATGTAAACTCTACGACTCAGCAGTTAGACGAAATGGGGAGAGACTTGGCTTCACTGAAAGAAGAACTTCACCAAAAAGAGAAAAACTTAAAGATCTCCCTCAAAAGACTCAACGATTGGGAGCAGAGTCTCGAAGCCAGAGAGGCAGGATTGCGTGAGAGGGAGCAAAGGGATTTGGAGAACGGACGACATGAGGTTGACGACAACATGAGAGTCAACGAGGTGAGTGCGTTCAGTCTGGAAGCTGCAGTTGGAAGCTCAGGAGACGACATCCATATGAGATGCCAAGAGGTCAGAGAGAGGAGGGGAAGAGGAAGAGGAAGAGAGTCAGAAAGGACAAAGAATGGGGAGGATCAAACAACGAAAACTGCATTGTCAGCCGCGGAGAGCAATAACTGTCATCTTGAAACACTAAAAGAGATCGACAAGGCTGATTTTAAGGAAGGGAAAAAAGGCAGAGGGCACCTGGAAATGGAAAAGGTCATCGGGGATATGAGGTTGTTTTCTCAGAGTCGCGGTCAAAGACGCTCAAACCACAAAGACTCTCCTGGATTGGATTTCAGAGTGATGGTGTTAGGGGAGTGCTGGTCATCTCGCTCCCCCGCTGGAGTCACCATCCTGGGTGGGGAAGCGTCTGAACTCGATGGATCTACCTTCAGGTCTTGGAGAGGTCAGATTGCCGGGAGACACCTCGCGGTTGTAGAGCCGCTAGGTTTGAGGTGGCGAGATGGACCGGACCCAACAAACACATCGCTGAGGAAAAGCCTTCGCGACAGCATCTCCTGGTGTCACCCGGGACCTCACGTCGTCCTCCTGCTCATGCCGGCCTTCTTAACCTGCACGCAGAAGTACAGGAGAGCTGTGGAGGAGCACATGAGTTTGCTTGGGGAAGAGATCTGGCAGCGCGCCTTGGTGTTGTTCACATGGGGGGAAACTTTAGGGGTGAGCGCAGAGCAGCACATCCTGAGGAACGGGGAGCTGATGGCGCTCGTAGAGAGATGTGGCGGCAGGTACCATGTGCTGACCAGCAAGAGAACCAACTCTGTGATTGAAGGACTGTTTGAAAAGATGGAGGAAATAGTGGCTTTGAACAACAGGGAGCAGTGTTTGGTGTAGCTCTGTGATCAGACTGTGTCTGAATTTATTGTGTAAATACTGTGTTTTTTCATGTCGTCATGTGAATATCGTCTAATAAATTTAAGGAAGAAGTACTCAGATCTTTTAATTTATGCAAAAGTATTAATAACACTGTGTAAAAATCCCCAATCGCAAGTAAAAGTACTGAATTTTAACAATAACAATTTTAGTCCAGTGGATCTCAACGTGGTTTTTTGTTGAAATATTGGAGACATTAACCTCTTTGGGCATCAAAAAAATATCAAAAGTAAAACCATCTGAGAAGTTTAGAGGGGAAATCACTCTTTGGTTAAACAGCCAACAATTAAAACGTCTGAAAAATTACAAGGGGCCACTGTTAGTGTCATAAGCCAAAAAAAAAAAACTGGTTTAATCTTGAAGAACATATTGTATTTTATAAGCCTATCATGTGTTTTTTAATGCGGATCTGAAAAGTAACCAGTAACTACAGCTGTCAAATAAATGTAGTGGAGTAAGAATATAATATTTTACTTTGAAATTTAGTAAAACAAAAGTACAAAGTAGCAGAAAATACAAAATACAAGTGGAAGTACCTCAAATACTTTACTCTCGAGCATTGCATTTAACATCCTGCTTACTGAATGATTCATGTAAACACTCATAAATGAATTATTACTTCAAAAACAGTCATTTAAGATTCCGAATGAGCCGCAACCCCAACATGATTTTTCAGACAAACCTCATCTGACCTGCGCTGTCACCACTGGCGTCAGGGAGACTTTCATACTTTTTCCACAAGATGGGGACCTTGTGTCAGTGTGGAGCTGCCTGAGTAATCAGTGTTGAAAGTCACTGATGACAAGGAGTTGATGGTGAAAGTATAGTGAAGATAGTCAAATATATTTTTTTAAACCGTGTTTTACAATTTTCTGTGTAAATGGCTACTTTTTAAAAAGGAAGAGTACACAAAGCCTGACTAGCAGGCCTGTGCTCCGTCTTGACTGGAGGTATTTCAGGAGAACCAAACCATCTCGCAATTATAACCCCAGGGAGCCTCCCGCATGCTGAGAGGACTCCTGCTTTGACAAGTAAATTATGACTCTTGATGAGAGGAGTACTGCTTTCTCAGAATGCAATTTTTGACAGCCAGGAAAATGCGGGTGGATACATACAACAACTTCCATCATCCGCGGAGCCAGATGCAACATCCAAAAACACTCGTGTGCAATCATCAGGCTAATAATTATGGACTGTGAGTGCTGGTCTGTATCTCACATGGCAGCAATGTTTTTTAATCTGTCCATTCAATGTGAGCTGCCTTTAGAGGCAAGATGAGAGGGTGTTGTGTCAAGATGGATCCCTGCTTCTTTGATCATCTCTGTTTTCAAAGCGTCTGGGGAGAAATTAAGAGAAAAAAAAAAGAAAGAAAAAAAAAAGTTGTCAAATTGCAGTTGATGCAGACATAATTTTCATTCATTTTAAGCATAATGTTTTAAAGATATCAGGTATCCAACACTCACTCAGCCATAATATGTCATAAGCAATGGCCTTTTTCATGTTTAAATCCGTCGATTTATCATCACATAGCTCATTTATAGCATCACAACACTTGATTTATTTATTATAAGCTTGGATTGATTACATAGTGCATTGATTACAAAGACCTGGTTATTAATGGTTTAGTTTAGAAATGTTATAGATTGATATCACTATAGAAATAGATAGATATACATATATAGATATCGCTATGGAGATAGATGGATAGATAGATAGTGTTTAAAGGGATAGTTCAAGATTTCTGTAACTATGCATATTTGCTGTATTGCTAACAATGATATGATAAGATTAATACCTTTCTCGTGTATGTACAGTAAATATGAAACTACAGCAAGTAGCCTGTTAGCTTAGCGTAAAGAAAATGTATGTGTTACATTTGTGTTTTCCTCTCTTTCCAGTCTTTGTGATGAGCTAACCGGCTGCTGGGTGTAACTTAATGCGCAGGCAGGAGAGCGGTATCAGTGTTCGTATCATCATCTTAGCAAAAATGTCAAACTACATCTTTGAATGATGCATTAGGTATTGAGAATTATCTTTTCATTTAATCTAATGGTGTGAATAAAAAATAAAAAAAAAAACCTTTAAACTGCACAACATTTTAAGAAGTTGTTTTGAGAAAAAAAACAAAAACAAAACACATTCCTTAACCCCGGCGAGGTGATCCCAAAGTTCGTTAATACCAAGGTCGCACAGGTTCAGGCAGGAGGATTTCAAAAATACAAGCGTGTAAAAATGTGTGTTTTAAGTGAACTATGATCCGAAAATCCATCCCACACTTTCTTCTCTCTATCCAAGGACATTTAGGAAACAAAAAAATCACTGCCATATGTGTGGGTTCACAGGTGAATCCTTGCTCCATATCAGCATTGTCACACTGAATGGTGCAAACAGTGAATGATAAAACCACTCTTGGGCACTCATTTCGGTTTTAGCTGGCATTAGTTCAGATTAAGGCAACATGGTAACCCTAATTTATCTTTATTTGAAGCCTTTTAAGGTCCTGAATTAGGCTTTTTGGGAAATATGGATGGGGCCACATTTACATGCACCACAATAGACAGGAACATCACAGTCAATCATGTCTACAAATGTTGGAAACAAAATTACTGGGCTGTGTTAAAACAGAAGTTAATGGTTGGGCTGATTTTTATTAAGGACTGTGCACTCTCATTTGAATAATGGTCTTTCCAACAATGTTGTTTCTTTTCAGTACTTGACCCAGGAAGGAAATAAATGTGATTCCGCTTTAACACGTCCATTAATATTCAAGTGGCTTTAATACTCCAGGTTTATTTCTGACACACCATAATTAGCACAGCAGTCTGGCGCTAGTTTATGATAAATCATGTTCTGATTGTGCGTATGGGTGGTGGTGGAAAATGAATGAGTTTCATTGCAAAAAAAAAAAAATGCATGGCTATTGTTAGGAGAGAATACCTAGCAGTCGGTATTTGAAAAACAAAACTGATTTGGTCATGAAATATACAATTATAATGTACGTTGTGCTTGAGGTTGATTCAGCGTAACACAAAATCTGCTCTCGTCGCATGCGAGTTGTTGCTTTAGCCTTAAACTATGTAGGCTACATATACTGTTAGACAGCTCTTTAATTCATCAGCAAGTCCCCTCAAGTGGACTGTTCAACCACTTTATAAGTTGATGTTAATAAGTTGTTAATAAATGGATTTTGGTTTAGATGAAAGTGGCACTTACTAATAAATAAAGCACCAGATGAAAAGAAAAAGGCAAATGAAATGCTGGATGACGATTTTCCACAACTTGGAAACCCCACATCTGCTCTTATTAATAGCTTATAACTGATCATAAAGCATCAGTAAATGATCCATTAACCATTAAAAAACAAAAAAGGCATCAGTTCCAGCTAATAAAGCGGCACATCTTTGGTGGCGTCTGGTCACAAGGACAGGTAGGGGGTGGGGATCGAGAACCGGTTCTGAATTGGAATCTGTATGCCTCCAAGTTTATTATGTCCTATAATCGATAACGGCATGTTTTTCTGACAGTTGCAAAAACGATGGCGTCCAACTCATGCGTCCATGCTGCTGGAAACTTTCAACAAGAAGGAGTCACGGTGGAGAAGAGGAAACGAACGACGTGATACCATTTGACACTGCAAAGAAGTGCCGCTGCTTCCCAGGCAGCACAACCATTACACCAAGGGTATAAATCCTATGTTATAACAACATTAGTGCTGCACAGACGGGCTTGGAATTAAAACAGGGGTTAAACAGTGGAGCCTTTGCACACCTGAGTCTCATGCATACCTTTCCACAACTCTGTTTCTACACCGTTCAGACTGAGATAATAAACAGTTGTGTTGACGTCTACTCCCCCCACACACACACACACATACACACACAAAAACAATCAATAAAGAATCAGACTGAATTGATAAAGGCATTGGTGTCAATAAAATCTCATCAACCTTCATGATCGTGGTTGCCATGGTCAACAATCGTCCCTCGAGGACAGAGATTTATATTGGACCTGATGGACCGTAAGAATTCTAGATCTGTCCCGCAATCCCTTCCCCCTTCTCCAACTCGACCACGTCCCAGGGGTATTTAGATAACATTAGCCTTTCAGAATTTGGATAGCCCATTTCAACCAGTTACGTAAACCACCCATGGTCCCACACATGCCCTCTGGAGTCTGAACCCAAAACAGTTGTCCAAGTTAAAAAATGCACATCCATTGTGAGGACAAATATCTGCAGTGTTACTTAGCCGTATTTTGCAAAAACAGAAATTGTTTTATCGTCAAAAACAATTCTTTGGTTTGTGCCCAAAATAACTGTAGTGCAAGGGGGGGAGTCACATGAACAACATGTTCCTGGTAAAGAGTTGAATATTGAAAGAAGCATCGACTGATGATTAGAAGATGACAAACAAAAATTCAACAAATATTAGAATTCCTTTCAATTAGGATTTGAAAGATTTATTACCGGATTCTGGCAGTTTGAGGTTTCTGTGTGTTTTACTTCCTCGCATCGCCTGCTCTGTCCTCTCCTGAAGAGGGAGGAGGGAGAGAGAGAGCGAGGAAGAGGAGACGACGCAGTAGATGATGAATCCCCCTCTGGACTGCATCCTTTCCGGCTGAGTGCGTCCAGTGGGCCAGAGCCAGGTCCTGGAATCTAGCTAATGAGACACACCCCCCGAGGGCTCCGTGCCGTCCCATTGGCTGAGAGGCTGGCGGCAGCTGAGACGATTGGCCGATGGAGTCCTGTGCGAGCAGCTGTCTGAGTGTGTTGCAAATCAAAGTCACAGTATTCATATCCAGCATGGCATGCAGTAAAGAAGCTAAATGAGCGGAGTGAAATCTATACTCAAACTAACATTTCCTAACATTACAAAAACTACAGGTTGAATCTGAAGCTGCAGTTGCATCTCTATAAACATATATTTGATGTGACCACATGTGCAGATGATGAAGGATTTTCACATGATGGTGTATGTGAGGGAATCTGCCTTACGCTCAGGCCATCATTTTTTAACGTATTTTAAACATTTACATTTTTATTCATCC